CATAATACCCGGCACGTAGTCTACAAATACCACAGAAAAAAAGACAAAACCGTTCAAACCTTTAAGAATTGCCGACATGTCAGTAGATGAGTTGCCATGTTGCAATATTCACCGCTGCTTATTTTTAAAAAACGATGGCAATAAGCAGGATTTACATAAAATTATAGCTTACAAAATCTTTATTTTTTTCTTTTTTTTACCATCTTTTCTATAGCACCCTCCCCCTTCCCGTCTCGTTAGCTATCATTGCTCATATAAGATATTAGTCTATTCAAAATAAATTGGTAAAGAAAAATTAAAAAAACAATGATGCTTAACCATTTAATTATAAGACGCCTATAACCAAAATATTATACAAAAGAAAATTAAAAAGAAATGACATTAGAAAAAATAGAAAAAAAAAACTAATTATATAAACTCTACAAAAATGAAAAAAAATAGATAATTAATAACTATTAATTAACTCCCACCAAATTCAGAATCGACAGTAAATTAAAAAAATTAAAACAATAATAATAATAATAATGATAATAATGTTAATTAATAATAATAATTAGAATCGATTTAAAAAAATACTTGTTCACCAGTGTTCCCGAATCCGCTGGAGGAACCAAATGACTATCGAATCCAACTGCCGGCGAACGTGAAACACTTCCCTGCCCGATCCTGACGCCGCCCTTGAACGTGTTTCTGCAGAAAACCCTTGAGGTGAACAAGAATACTTTCACCTGTTCTTGTGATTCATTTTTTTCTTCTTTTTTTCATTTTTGATTGATTTCAAAGAATGTGGGTTATTGATGATAACTTTGTTCATCGTTTGAAATTGTTTGTTGTTAACCATGCGAAATTGTGGGTTTTGTTATGTTATGTCTGAGGAGCTCAGTTTTTTAAATTGTTTTTTTCTCTGGGTCGTGTGTGTTCGTTTTTTCCAGCGGACTCCCTGTCCAGCTAGTGTGTCGTGCGGTCTTTTAAATGTCTGTCTGGCTTTGAGATTCTGTGTTCTCTGCGGCCTCTTGTCTCCGCTTGCTGTTGTGTGTGTGTGCCTCGCGGTCCGTCGCTGCCGTGCCCTCGCGTGCCTCCCTCCACCGTGTCTCCTACTTTCGTCTGCGTAACCGTGCCCTCCATTCTCCATCCTGGTCGCTGCACGCCTCTCTCAGCTCGCTCGGCTCGCACCGGTCCTGGGCTAGCGCGTCTGCCCTGGTCCTCCCCTTACCCTCTCCTCCCTCTTCCACCCCCTTCGTAGCCCCGCTCTGGCCTGCCCTCCGCCCCTTTCCACCCCGCTCCCGTCGCTCCGGCCAGTCGCAGTCCTCGTAGCGGCTCCTGTGCACCGGCTCCCTTGTCCCGTCTTCTTCACGCCACCACTCGTCGAGCGCCCTCGTTCGTCCTTCACCCGACCTCCTCGCACCTTGGGTGCGTGGTTGGTTGCTTTTGGGTCGTGTCTCGACCGTCCGTCTCCGCTGTCCCTGCGCACCAGCTCACGTCGTCCTTTCGTTGTCCACCTCGCTCCTCTGCCCACCTCGCATGGTCGTCTGCGACGCCTTTGGAGTCGTGTGCCTTTCCACCCGCCTCCGTGCGCTCGCCAGCGGTGTTGTGTCCTCTCCAAGGTCCGCTTCTACCCGGCGCCTCCTCTCCAGAGCGGTGCACCTCTGCGCGACCTTGTCGCCCTCCATTCCGCGCTCCCAGCCTCCACCCGAGCCCTCTCCACGCCCCTTGCAGCCCCCTTTCGAGTCAGCCGGTGGCCACCCAACGCCTTCTCCAGCGCCGGCCTGGGTCCGACTTGGGGGTGCCTCCAGTGCCGGTGAGCCTGCACCCTCTCCAGCTCCGCTTCTATCCGTCCTCCTCCAGGGCCGCCCACCCTCTCCAGCCTCCCGCAGGCTATGGTGTGGGCCGTCCCTCATTTCCATCGGGCGGGTGGCGGCTGTCTTCCGTCGCATGTGGCGCCCTCACCATAGCTCTTCGTCATGCTCTCTGTCACGGGCGCGCACATCTTCGCCTCCCTGCTATTCTTCGGTACACGAAGCCACCTCGGTCTGCTGCGGCTTGCTCTTGTCGCAGGCGCGTACATGAAGTGAGGGTGGGGGTCGTAAAGGGTGGGGAGGTTGGGGGGGCTTGTGTGGGGGGTTGTAAGGGGGAGGGTCGCATATCGTCTAGTAATGTTGAGTGGGATGCTATGGGTGGTGGAGGGGGGCAGTTGGGGGTTCTAAGAAGGGGAGGGTGGGGGGGGGTTCGGCGTGGACGTACAGTGAGTTGAGGGGGGGGATTTGGGGGGTTCTAGGGAGGGGGGGGTCGCATACGGTACATGATGTGTAGTGGGTGGCTGAGGGTGGGGAGGGGGAGGCGGCTTGGGGGGGTTCTAAGGGAGGGGGGTTCAGCATACGTACATGAAGTGAGTGGGGGGGCTTTGGGGGGGTTGTAAGGGGGAGGGGGGGTCGCATACGTACATGAAGTGAGTGGGATGCTAATGGGTGGGGAGGGGGGGGCATTGGGGGGTTCTAAGGGGAGGGGGGTCGCGTACGTACATGAAGTGAGTGGGGGGATTTGGGGGGTTCTAAGGGGAGGGGGGGTCGCATACGTACATGAAGTGAGTGGGGTGCTAAGGGTGGGGAGGGGGGGGGGCTTTGGGGGTTCTAAGGGGAGGGGGGGTCGCATACGTACATGAAGTGAGTGGGGGGGGCTTTGGGGGGGTTCTAAGGGGAGGGGGGGTCGCATACGTACATGAAGTGAGTGGGATTCTAAGGGTGGGGGGGGGGGCATTGGGGGGTTCTAAGGGGAAGGGGGGGGGGGGGTCGCGTACGTACATGAAGTGAGTGGGGGGGATTTGGGGGGTTCTAAGGGGGAGGGGGGGGTCGCATACGTACATGAAGTGAGTGGGGTGCTAAGGGTGGGGAGGGGGAGGGGGCTTTGGGGGTTCTAAGGGGAGGGGGGGTCGCATACGTACATGAAGTGAGTGGGGGGGCTCTGGGGGTTGGTAAGGGGAGGGGGGGTCGCATACGTACATGAAAGTGAGTGGGGTGCAAGGGTGGGGAGGGGGGGGGCTTTGGGGTTCTAAGGGGAGGGGGGGTTTTCGCATACGTACCATGAAGTGAGTGGGGGGGGTTTGGGGGTTCAAAGGGGAGGGGGCAGAGTTGTTGGGTTATTGCCCAAGTTGGATTTGGGGTGGGTGTTTGAAGTGGGGAAGTCTGGGGTTCTAAAGGTGATGGATGTTTTGTGGGGTTGTTAGAGGGAGGGAGTTTGGTTGGTGTTCTAAGGAGTTGGGTGGATCTACCAGGGTGTTGTTTGTTGTTGTGTGGTTCTAAGGATCTGGGTTGTCGTGAGGGAGGATTTTGGTTCTAAGGGATGCTGGAGGTTCTATAGGGAGGATGTTGGTGGTGTCGGTGATAGGGGATCTGGGGTTCTAGGAGGATTTATGGGTGGGTTTCCTAAGTGGGATCAGTGGGGGTGTCTAGAGGGAGGATTTTGGATGGTCTGGGATTGTGGTGGGGTTGCTAGGGGTATGCGGTGGGGGTTCGTATAGGTGGAGGATTGTGGTCGGTCTGCTGAAGTGGATCTGGTGGTTCTAGGCGGGAGGATATGGGTGGGTTTCTAAGGGGGATCTGGGGGTTCTAAGGGAGGATTTGGTGGGTTCTAGGGGGAATTTGGTGGGTTCTAGGGGGATCTGGGGGTTCTAGGGGGATTTGTGGGTTCTAAAGGGGATCTGGGGTTCTAAGGAGGATTTGGTGGGTTCTAGGGGATCTGGGGGTTCTCTAAGGGAGGGATTTGGTCGGTTCTAAGGGGATCCGTAGGTGGTTTTAATGGATCGTGGGTTCTAGAGGGATGGGGATTTGTCCGGGTTGCGTGAAGGGGAGGTGTTGTGGGGTCTAGAGTGGAGGATTTGGGCATTGTCTAGAGGGGAGTCTGGGGCTCTAGGGGAGTGTGGTTCTATGGGATCTGGGGTTTGTAGTGAGGGATGTGGGGTTCGGAGAGCAGGGAGGTATTGGTTGGGGTTTAGAGGATCTGGAGGGTTGTCTAATTGAGGGAGGATGTGGTGGGTTTTGAGAAGGGATCGGTGGGGGTTTGCTAGGGAGGGATTTGGTTTGTGCGTTTCGTATTAGAGGTAGTCTGGGGTTCGTAGGGGATTGCTGGGGGTTCTAGAGGGTAGGATTTTTTTGGTGGGTTTGTGATGGATGGGGATCGTGGGGGTTGCTGAGTGAGGGAGGGATTGTGGTCGTTTCGTGAATGTGTGTGGGATTGTCTGGGTTTGTTCTATGAGGGAAGATTGTTGGGTGGGTTTTAATAGGGGATGTCTGGGGTTCGGTAGTCTGGGGGGTTGCTAAGGTGGAATTTGGTGGGGGTTGCTAAGGGAGGATTTGGTGGGTTCTAAGGGGTCGTGGGGGTGTCTAGGAGGGGAGGATTTTGGATGGTTCTAGAAGGGAGGATTTTTGGTGGGTTTTCTAAGGGATGTCTTTGGGGTTTCTATGTGTAGGAGAGTTGGGTGTGGTTGGTTCTATTGTGTTTTTAGGTGGGATTCTTTGTGGGGGTGTGATTGGTGTTGTTCGTAGATGAGGTGGGATGGGTAAGTTGTGTGTTGGGTGTGTTGGGGTTGCTATTTATGTGGTGGGATCGTGGTGTGATGGGTTCGTATAGTGTGAGGAGTGTTTGGGGTGTGTGGGTGTTGCTAGTGTTTGGTGTGTGTTGGTTTGGTGATGGGTGTGGGATCTTTGTGTGGTGGGGTTCTATGAAGGGGGAGGAGAGTGGGTGGGTTCGTGATGTGTAGGGTGGAGTTCGTGGTGTGGTGGTCTAAGGTGGGGAGGATTGTTGGGGTTGGCTCTAGGGTGAATGTTTGGGTTGGGTTCTTGTGGTCGTGGGGTGGTGGGAGTGCTAGGGGTTCGGTAGGGGGAATTGTGTGGGTGTCGTAGTGGAGGAGGTGCGTGGGTGGTGGCTATTAGGTTGAGGGAGTGGATTGGTGTGGGGTGTTGCGTAGAGGGGAGTCGTGGGGTTCTAGAGTTGTGAGGGGATGGATTAGGGTCGGGGGTGGTGTTCTAATGGGCGGTGCTGGAGGGCGTGTCTAGTGATGTGTTGGTAGGGAAGGGTATTTGGGTTCGGGTTCTGG